GGGTGGGCGGCAACAATGGGTGGAAATGGACTGGCGCCGCGCCATACCTAGCCCGTCTGACAGGCCCCATCATTGGCAGAGAACATGAATTAGTTGGCGAACGCTGGTCTTGATTTGAAGAGAGTGGGGCACGGGTCTCTATTCACCAGACTTCCTCCACACGTAACAACACCTTGATCCATAGCACAGTTTCAACTTTTGGTACGACTTCAAGCATTCCCGTAGCGGAGCTGCTGCTACGGCTACGGGGCAGGAATCATACCGCCCAAGGTCCCACATCCGTGGAATGGACTGGGAAGAGTGACCACCCCTATGGGCTATCCAATATCTAGTAAACTATAATTGTCTAGATATGTTGTCCTGCTTACCCTTGACCAATAGCCATTTCCTATCAGAATATGTTGATTGGGAGAAGATCGCTTTAATTAGCGAGTGCTCGTTACGCATGCAATTGAATCGTATTGTGCGCATTGCGATTCGTCATTATGCCTCGGGGTAATGGCGGAAATTGGGGTAGGGATGGTGGCGATTCAAGTGGCCTTGATATGTCCTAATGAAACCCGTATTGAGCTATCATTCATGGTTAAAGATGCCCGCAGAATTGGAAATCGGTTGTGTAGGAAGCTTCAATAGGACACTCATTGATCCAATTTTCTTTTTCAGAGTTGAACGTTCACTACAGTGAGAGTGAGAAAGAGCTCGAAAGGGTCAAGTCTGGGTTAATTTTGTCAGTTTATGATGCGCAAGCGTTAAAGGTTTCGGCATGGTTAGCCCTTTAGTCCTTTTTTGTGTATGCCACTCATCTTTCTTCTATCCAGGATATCAGCGGGCACTGACATCCTGGCCCATCTGATATGGCTTGCGAGAGCCATCCAATCTAATAGTCACGGTTTTATTCTCCCAGACGATTGAGCGATCCTAGGGATACCCGGGGTAACCCAACCCGGTATCTGAGGTCTCAGCCGCATACTAACAGTGCCATTTGCCACCTCTGGATTATGGGGTCAAGTATGAAAAATATATAAAGAAAGTCATTCTCTCAAGCAGACCTACAGTCTTGTTCAGACGCTGGAGCGTGTTAGGAGGCAGGCGGTGTGCAGGAAGCCTAGCAAACGTCCTTGGCAAAAAGGTTTTACACGCGAAACGAGTGTGATATTCGTGCTCTGGGGCTCAAATTAGCCCTAGAGACAAGTTTTCAACCAAATTTGAGATTTCGACCTATTTTCGATACAGTGGGGTAACCATAGGCAGCCAATTCCTAAAGGTTGCTGGCACTATCGCCGATTCAAATCTCTGTGAGCAGTGGAGGTTCCTCGCTAAATCTTAGTCCTTGTTGGTTACTGACGGTCCTGATAACAACCACGACATCCACTTTTGGCTTCCATGCCATCTGGAATCAGTTTGGCCTCACAACACGACGGAACGAATAATGCCGCCGAAACCAACAATCAGGAGTTCCCACTAGGAGTGTTCCAGAATGGCTCTATCACATCAGAAATAAAATTTTTTGGTAGAATCAGGTCTCCTAGCCTCGCAGAAGTGCTTTCCGGATGTGCAGGAGGCATTTTTGAGAAAATGCAAAATGGCGATTCATGGAGGGATTCGAACCTCTCACCTCGCATACTTGAGCGCGGCACACTACCCACTAGGCCACCGATGCACTTCGTGTGACGACTCACGTCTCATTTGTGTTACCAAGCTCAATTGTGCTCCGTACAACAACCTCCTGCATATCTCTGCTCAGAGAATCGTTTAGCAGATATGGAAAGCAGATTTGAAATCAGCGTCCGAGACGCATCAGTGTGTATGCATCTTGTCTTAAATGGCCACTTCGACCAACCATCCTTTCCTTGTCAGAGCTAAAAAGCTCGAGAATTTTGCTCAACCTCAACTCAACCTGAATCTTTTCAAGCTGCAACTGAGATTCCGAAAGTCCTGACTGACCTGCCACCTTAATATTTTAGATCCTCGGTTAGACTCACCCGGGCCATATGTCACTGGATTGTCTTTCCCTTCAGGGTACAAGTCCGGTTGCATGAGCTCCCTCTCTTCCCAGGAATATTTGTTGTGAACCCCTCTCCCACGCCTCTAAACCGGCACATGAATTTAACCTCAAAACTGCATAGCATCTGGGATTAATAGAGCTGACAGAGTTTTTTGTCCCAAGGACAGGGCCATGATTTTTGGACGGTGAGGGAGGCTGCACGCAATAAATGTGAAAATGATAGATGGGGCAGGAAACTTTCACTCCGAAAGAACGGTAGGGACCTGCACTCTTGGGAGAAATTTGTATAAAATATATGCGTTATTTGAGTGCTTTAGAGAGAAATGACTGAAGTCTGAATTTCTCTGCTCTGAAAGATGGATGGCTTTGGGGGCTGAGTTGGAACAGCTGTGTGCAGCCGACTGCAGCGAAATACCGTGCCATTCAAAATTGCTTGAAAATTCACAAATTCGAAAAATTATCTAGATATATTTGTTTGAACATAAGCAGCTCACCCTATGATAGTCTGCTTGAGCAGGTGTTTCACTCGAACCGGAAAAGATTACGGTATAATACCGTATTAGGTTAAGCCAGTGCAGGTGTATTTCTGACGCTCATCCTTCCAACCATCGTTTCCGGATGGATTACTTTGGATTGACCCTGTGCGATCCTAATGGGCGCTTAGTTTTCAGAAGCGGCCAAGGCACCAGTCCCACTGCCCGCGTGGCCTAATGGATAAGGCGTCTGACTTCTAATCAGAAGATTGCCGGTTCGACCCCGGCCGTGGGCTTACGTTTTGTCAGTGTTGAAAACGATGGGGTATGACGACACGGTGCTCTTGCCAGAATAGTAGGATAGACTAGAGGATTAAAGGCTTAATTCAGCGCAGCGAATTAAAAGCAGGACATTCCATTCTGTTGCTGCCTTGATTATGGCATGCAATCGCGTCGGGGAGAGCATAATGCTCCTGAAAAAGGGAAAAAAACCAATAATCATTTTCTTGGGGCTGAATACCACCCCCTATCCTTCGCGCTGAGGAATCTCCAAAGTACGCCGTGCTATGCTATGAATAAGGAAGTCGTCTTCAAGTTGCAAGTTTGTAATGTCTGTTCGGGCCCGGAGAGAGAGGATCAAAGGATAGTTATTTATTTATTTATTTATGCGTACGATGACGTGCCAGGTAAACAGAAGCTGCTGCAGCAGATTAAGCTACAAGAAACTCAATGATTCCAGAAACAGCAGAAAGGGAATAACGGAAAAAAGCCAGCGAACAAAAAAAAGAGAATTTAGTGGCAGTCATTCGTCTTAGAGTGCGCCACGTAAAATTTATCCCCCCAAAACTATTCCTGTCTTCGAATAGCGTTAACTGCGTTAGCAGCAGCGATGCAACGAATGCCAGGTGTTTACCATTTCACAAATTTTTAAGGGTCAAGGATTCCAACAGGCGACTCGCGTCTTGTGAAGCAGGTGCCGCTTTAACCCACTAGCTACGGCCCTCTTGGACGGCCATGCAGTTATCGTTCTCAACTTGTGCAAACAGAGCAAAGATTAAATGGTCCGTAACTCCCTTCAGAGAATCGTTCCGCAAATTCGGAGGGCAGATTTCGGATTCAGCGGCTCAAGACAAGTCCACATATGTACATCTCATTACAAACGGCCGGATCGACCTGTTGGGGTTCCCTTGTCAGACAATTCTGCCATTCGGCCGGGAACAAAGGCATAGTCCGGAGTTCCTGTAATTTCCGAAAATCCTGCAAATGTGGTGAGGCAACCCCTGGGGTCAGTAGAGACTCTCAACGATCATTGTGCTGTTTGAGCATCCTTGGAGAGAGTCCACTGTTCAGGTGTCTCTGAGTTGTTCTGATTAGTTATGGATACTTGTGTCTGGGCTGGAATGCTATAAGTGCCTATATGGCCACAGCACCGAGTAGA